GCCCGCCCGCCCGCCTTTGTCCCGGCCGCTCGGCTGATCTATCAGGCCTGCCAATCACGTTCCTCCCCGCGCGCCCGGAGCAGATGCTCGGTCCTTGGCCCCGCGCGCACACGCGCGCACACACGCACGCCCCCCTTTTGTTTTTGCGCTGCGTCGAAAGCCGAGAGAAATTCGGAGGGGCTCCGGCGTCCCCCCCAAAGGCCGCGTTACCTGTGTGGCATGAAAGAGCCCCAAACGGAGGCGCCACTTTCAAGAGCCCCAAACTTTCCAAAGCGGCTTCAACATCGGAGCCGCCTCCCGCCCCCGCCCGCTGGAGGATGCCCGTCCCACGTCAGGACTACGAGACCCAACATTCCCAGCTAACACAGCAACGGGCTGGGATTCCCCTTTGTTTTACGCCCACTCTTTTTCTCCTTTGGGGAGCCAAAGGTCACCCTCTGCCTCAGAGTAACACGGGGGGCTGCCCAAACACACACACACACCCCCGAGTGGGCCAGGACAAAGGGTTGGGCTGAGCAGGAAAACGAAATATTGCAGCGCTAACAATGCATCGGTTTATTCCATTCCCCAACTTTATTTCCTTTTTTTTTTTCCAGTTTGGACAGGGGGTTATTTTAGTTTCTATTTCTCCCCGGGGGTGAGGTTTCTATCTTTGCGTGGCAGAAACAGAACGGAGGGAGAAACTCAATTCAATTTACTTTTATGCGCACTGAAATCACTACTTTTGATTGTTGGCTGTGAGATGTAGAGCTCAGCTTTCGCTAAGGGGCCCAGAGCCTGGATCTCCCCATGCCTGGGCCAGCATCTTCCCCACTGAACCCCTGGGGTTCCTGGACACAGGGAGGCAGCCTCACTCAGGAGCTTCCGGGGCTAAAGGAGTATTAGAAGCTGAGCCTCCGTGGTCCCTGGAGTCAAAAAGGAGTCAAAAACATTAACCCGGAAGAAGACAGGAAATTGCCAAGGAAATTGCTGGGATGTGTCTGTGAAGTTCCCAGGAATCAAGTTTGTACTTAGTAAAAGCAAGAACACCTATTTGGGGAGGGATGTCAGCTTAGATGCAGTCACAACTGAAACGGCAAAGGAAACACAATTCTCTGTGTGTCAGAACCCTCGCAATCAATTAACCCAAGGGGGGTGGTAGGGGAAAAGGCATTAAGCAGAGTTTGGCACACGAGGGGTTTTTAATTTCAGCAATCACTTTGCAGGCGCGGTATTACTTCTCAGTAAATGAATTTTTCTTTGGACTTATCTGAGTTTCAAGAGGAGCTCCTTTTACTGGGGACTGAGTACTGCAGGTCCTTACGCTGTGTAAGTCACTTTGGAGACTCTCATTTCTCCCCAAGGAAACTGGCACAGGAGCGTCCTCGCCCCAAGGCTTGGGCAGAGGCGCCTGGTAAAAGCAAGTTTTCTTTTCAAGGGGACAGGGCACCTTTTTAGCTCCTTCGGACTACAGTGCCAATAATTCCCAGCCAGCATGCCCAGGATCTGTGCCAGCTGGACACCATGGGAGTTCGAGTGGAGGGTGGAGTTTAGAAGATGTCCAGTTTGGAGATTTGGACAGGTTAACAAAAGAGAGAGAGAGAGAGAGAAATCCCACTAGAACAAAAATGTTGGTTTGTTCTAATTAACCCGACATCTGGTAGAACAAGAAGGGAGGGAGGATTATTCAAGCCGCAAAAAAAATATGGTTTAAAATTATTAAGGGGACAAACCTCTTGTGAAACTAAAGTTAGTAGGGGAAGAATTGCGCTGGGGAGAAATTGTATTCAAGGGCTATTTTTCGTTTTGCGGCCTCCAAGGGCTGTTGCTGCTGGTGCAAATTCAGGTGGGGACAGGGCTGCATTTGAAAGCGAGCGTATTTCCAGTCGTGCCAAACCCTGATTTCTTAGAAATACATTGGCAGTGGGGATTTGGGCCCTGCATCCTCTTTTTATCTTTTTTGCAGATGCTTTTGCGGACCAAAACAAGCTGGAGCTGATTAGGGAGCGAAGAGCTGGGAGTCTGCATGAGAGAAGGGCAGCTGCTGGGAGCCGGGGGAGGGGGAGGCAGGTGTGTGTCTGTGTGGCCCACCCCTCAATTCCCCATTTCTCTGCAGGACCCCCCCATGCATTATCAACGGGCAAAGGCATAGGGCCACAAGCAGCATTGTCCGCCCTGGGGGGGGATTATCTAGCCCCCTGACGGATGCAGATGTGACCTCACCCCTCCCAAGGGGGGGCGAAGTTTCGCTCCATTTAACTTGAGTGAAGGGGCTTTGGAAGCTGGGTCAGAGATCCAGCTGTGGGGTGAACCGGATAAGGCAGCCCTTTTGTCTTTGGGAGAGTGCCCACCCCCCCCACGTCTGGAGAGCAGACAAAAAGCCGTGGCTCGCCTGCTCCCCACCCCACGGACCGGGGAGAGAAATCCCCCGCAGCTGGCAGAACATTTCTGGGCGAGAAATGAAGCTGGAAAAAGAATTACAAGAGGAGAACCCCCATGTTTGGAGAGCACCTCCAGGAATCCCCTTCTGCTGCTTCACAGACACCCCCTTGCGCTAGTGGCCCCTATCTTTGTTCACTTCTTGATTTATTGGGGAGATTTATAAGCCCCCAACCCATCATCTAGGCCTCTGAGCAGTCAAAAACATAAACCTTCCCAACGGGGAGAAAGAAATGAAACCAAATTGCCGAACCACAATCACACACAAGCGTGTAATCTAGGGAGGCTGCGCTCAGCACCAGCCCCCCACCCCACCCCACATGGTGTGCTCAGCAAATCCCTCCCCGCTTTCCAGGCCACGGGAACCAACAGCCCTCGCCACATTGTGGCCGTGAGTTCCACATCCCAGTAATAACCCTGCCTTTCACGCACTGGAGCGGGCTCATCTGTCACTCAACTTCTGTTCTAATAGTATGGAAAGGAGAAAAAGCCACTGGAGAAATTCTGGAAATGAAGGGGGAAAAAAGAGAGAGGAGTTTCGCCAACGGAGGGACGTCTGGGAAAAAGGCAGTGGGTTTTGGCCCCGAATTGTGCACATAATGGAGCGCAAGGCTTTCTTCTGTTTGCACGTCTTGCACATTAACTGCACGTGTCTCCCACAGCTCGAGACGGGGTGCCTCACAAAGGGACGCAGAAATCCGAGCGGGGTCTCTGCGCCTTGCACACCCTTCCGAAAATTCACATCCGTGTACGCCAAGCAGCCTTGAGAACTGTTGCTCTTTCCCTGTTTTTCGAAACGGGGAAAAGCCTTGCCGAGCAGCGTCAGGCCAGGCAGAGGAGCCAGGCTTTCCCCTTGGCAATGGTTCTGCTCGGCGCTCACCTACACGTGCACCTGCACGCGCACACACCCAGACGAGCTGGGTGGCCAAGAAAGCATTTTTAGATCTGGTAATTGCAGGATGGCACGCTAGGAAAAACGACTAAATTCTGCCTCTGTTCGAGTCTCTGCGTTTTATACGAAACAGGACGTCGCGTCATTTGAGCCAACGGGCGTTTTAGTGCCCCCGGGGGAAGACAACCCCGTGTGCCCCCCGCCCCCCAAACTCTCCTGCAGAATTGGCCCACGGACCTTCCTTTGACCCTCCTCTGTGACCGTTTCCAGCCCCCCACTTTTCATTCAACATTCATTTGCTTCGTTTGCAACCTTCTAATCCTCAGCACTTCAAATGTTCATTTTCAGGGTTTGACATTTCAACGTTTCCTTTAAACCTGAAGAACCTTCCCCTTTCATTTTCTTTATTTTAGCAAGAGGCAAGCCTGGGCCTGTTCATATTATTTTTTCCCAGGAGGCAAGACACCAGCCTTTAGCAGGTTCAATGCATCTTGCAGAACGAAGCGTGAAGGGTTGTATAGGAAACTTGTGGATGCGAAGAGAGAAATGGGGAGCAAGGGCGAAATGCAAGAAGAACCTATTTGATCCAGCCAGGCTCAAACTCTGGGTCCCTCCCAGTCTCCCCATTTCTCCCACAGCTATTAACACAAGCGTGGGATTCTTGCAGGGGAATGGTGGGAAATTTGTCCCAGGGCTTTGTGCGAAAGTAAGAAAACCCAACTGGAATGTTTAAGGTGAAACTGCACAGAACATAAGCCTATGAGCAGCATGGTATTAATTTACCAACCTTTAATTTTTAACCTCATTTTCTCCTGACCCCACGCGCTAGGGGAGTGTGCTTCCCTACTCAGAGCCAAGGGCACTGGTTTCTGCAGGTAGACTGCTCTGAATGGGGAAGTTCCACTGAGTAGCGGAAGCTCCGATTCCCCCAGGGGACCCGCTGCGTGCCCAGATTCCTGGAAAAGAAGAGAGCGCCTGGGCATCTCTTACCATGGGGTGGAGGGCCGGTACCCTCAGAAGCTGGTGGCTTAGAAGGAGCTGACGGGGGTGTGCAGGCTGCCTCGGGCGGGAGAAGGGCTGGGACGGTGTCCTTCCGGGAACCCTCTTGGACGCTGAGGGGCAGCTGCGGGCAGAGGGAGGAAGCGAAAAAGTCATCAGAAGAAAGGGCCCGAAACCGCAAGCGTAGGCAGAGAAATCTTCCCATTTCGGCAAGCGGAGATTAACCAGCCATGCAAATTGCAGAGCATTTTGGATCACACTGATCCATCAGCATCTGTGGATCTGCAAGATGGGATCCTGGCCACCAACCTTACAGAGCGGCGGTGAGGTTTGCAAGATTAAGCCCAGTCCCCAGGGAATGGGGGGCCCAGCCCTCCTCCAGATGTTGCCGGTCCAGGCCAGCTCGCAATTCCAGAATTGTTACCAGTCCACACCAGTGTGGAATCTGTCACGTAATTCTGTGCGTTACAGATTCCACACCCAAAGATAAGTCAAGTTTCCGTATTCACGGTTTGTTAAAGAAGAAGCTGTTAGTTGGGTTTACAAATCGTAACGATGGGAGGTGGGTGGTCTGTACAGGTGTTTTTTAATTGCTTTTACTGCCTGTCTGGTACATTCACATGTGCACACACACACACAATAGATGGCAGGTGGTTTGCAGATGTTCATTGATCGAATGAGGATCTTTGCCCTCCAAAAGTCGAACATCCAAGAGGAATTGAGTTTTCTGCTCCCTTCCAGCTCCAGAAAGAAATGCACCTTCTAGTTTCTAAGGGGGGAAAACCGGCCCAACTCATTTTTCTTGCAAATTGGAAGGTGGATGTGGAACTTTCCCTAAAAGATGCTGTTCCCCACACAATCAACTCCGGCTTTCAGAGAACCCTATGCAAAAAAAAGGGGGGGGGAAGGGCCGTCTTGCACCAGGGCTGTTTACACTTTTTCTGGCACTAGCTCAAGACAGTTTACAACTGTCCTTTTGGGCGTGTGAATTCCTGTCAACCTTCCAGTCTGGACTTCGTAGCTGAAACCAGAAATGAGACGGTCTTGGCTGCTCCCCGCGTAACTGGCTGCTGGATTCAACGCCGAGAAAAGTTTTCACAAGTTACAGGAAGGCCAATTCCAACTCGCAGCAAGAACAGGTTGGCATGGAACCAATGACCAATGTGGCGCAGGGGTTAGACTGGATGACCTTAAGGAACCCTCCCAACTCTAGGACTCTAAGTAAGGAAACTCCAGGTGGAAGGCCGACGAGACGTGGCCCAGAGTCCCTGGAATTCAAGGGGAGAAACCCCACCAAGGCATTCGCCACCTCCACCCGGCACAAACTCACCGTCCCAACCGGAGGCTGCAGCTGGAGAATGACGGCTGACGTGT